CCCATCCCTGTGCCCCCATCTCTGTGCCCCCATCCCTGTGCCCCCATCCCCGTGGCCCATCCCTGTGCCCCCCATCCCCGTGCCCCCATCTCCGTGCCCCCCATCCCTGTGCCCCCCATCTTCGTGTCCCCCCATCTCTGTGCTCTCCGTGCTCTGTGTTGGTCTGTGGGGCAGAGGAAGGGCCGCGTGCACCCAGGGGATGGGGGTGGGCGTGATGGGAGAGGACTGCCACCCTTGCCCCAGGTCTTCTCAGGCCACCACATTAAGGTGTGGTGTGTGCCCCAGAGTGCTGTCCCCGGACTCGGCCCTGAAGGACCAGCACAGGCCTCTCCCTACGTGACAGCCCGCCCACCTGACCCTCTGGGCCTGCCGGGGCAGTGCCTGTCCTGGAGGGGGGCCGGGGGGCCGGGGGGCTGGGGGGCTGGGGGCTGACCGCAGGAGGCAGAGCAGAGCTTTCGGGGGAGCTCTGAGGGGCTTTCTCCAAATAACCACCGTGTTGGGAAACTCGCAACTAGTTCAGCTGTAAAACATCACGCTGTTTTAGCAAATAGAAGCCGCTTTCTATTGTCAGCTTGAAATAAAGACACAAAAGACGTCTAATGAGGTTAATGAGGTGTCAGGAGAAGGAAAACCCCGGAGGCCACCTGGGTGGAGGCAGGTTTGATTCCAGGGTGTGGTGGTCCTTTGTGAGAAGATGTGGGTCTGCAAGGAGGGAGTCCCAGCTGTCAGGACACCCCGGGGAGACCCCCCAGAACCAGCCCATTGTCCGCCTCCTCTGAGGGTCCCGTGCTGCACCCCAAGGCCGTCAGGTGGCACGTCTGAGTGCCGGCACTTCCGGGGGACTGGCCACCCCCGTGCCTGGGGGCCCTGCTTCTGCTACATCTGGGGGCGCAGTCCCCCCTAGTGGGATCCCGGGACAGTGGCCCCAGCTCTTCCCTCTGCCCATCGCCCCCACGCGTGGCCTGCAGCTCTTTGGGGGAGACTCTGTTTTTATGTGTTTCACACTCTGCGGTCGGTTTCTCCAGCCAGGGTTCCTGGGGACATCACCTCCCACGGGCCGTGCTCCACCGCGGCTCTTCTCGCAGAGCCTCCCTGGGAGCGCTGCCGGGCTGGGGCTCTGGGCGAGGGGGTCACAGGCCCGGGAGGTTTGAATCCGCAGCGGGGGGTGGGGGGATTGTCCTGTGGGAAGTCACAGGCACCAGGGGCCAACGGCAAACCAGGTAAAACGAGGGCCTGGCAGGTGCCCTAGAACCCTGGGAAGCTTTCGGAGGTGAGTGTGACGGGCGTGCAGGCGTGCACTAGGGCCTGTGCTGTGGCCTGCAGTTGTGCCCCGGACCACGGGAGAGCCAGCTGCGTCAGAAAAGAAGGGCTGCGGATCCACTGTTTTGAAATGAAAGCCATATCCCCCACCCTGAAAATGCTCTTGCTCAGGTGCCTGCAGCTGCAGGGCCCCCCGGATCTGGGCCCGGCTGCCTCAGCTCCCTGGGGGGGCCCCGGGGTGGCAGCTCCTCTCCGGGAGGCCCCAGGGCCCTTCCCTGTCCCCACCGCCACCATCGGCAGGCTCTGCACGGGGGGTGTGCCCAGCCCGGCCCTGATCTCCGTCTGCAGTTCCACTGATGGGCCAGCGACGGAGTGGAGGTGGTGACGGAGGTGATGGTGACAGTGGTGACAGTGATGGTGGTGACAGAGGTGACGACAGGTGATGGTGATGACAGGTAGTTGTGATGACAGAGGTGGTGGTGGGGATCACAGAGGTGACAGTGATAATGACAGGCGATGGTGACGGTGGGGACAGAGGTGGTGGTGACAGATGTGATGACAGGGATGATGGTGGTGGTGACAGAGGTGACAGTGGTGACGACAGCGGTGGTGGTGACGGTGGGGACAGAGTGGTGGAGATGCTGGTGATGACCGAGAGGGCACTAACTCGGGCAGAGTCCCTACTGGGGCCGGAGGCATAGGAAATCCTGACCGCGTCAGACGGTTTCCTCCACCGGGTGGCTGTGTGTCACCGCCATGATTCCCACTCTGCAGAGGGGGCCACTGAGGCACAGGGGAGGCAGGCGGCGTCTCCGGGGCCCGGCAGCGGGACTCGAGCAACCTGGCCTGAGTCCGTCCTCTTCACTGCTCTCCGCAGCACCCGCAGCCAGGCCTGTGCGCAGCTTCCTCCTGAGCCGTGACGGTCCTCGTGATCCCTGGGGCAGGGACAGGGCTGCAGACCTGACCCTGCAGGGCACTCAGACAGCCATACTGGTCCTGTGGACGCCCGGTGTCCAGGGGGGCAGCACCAAACAGATGTTCCAACAGGATCTGTGACCCGCGGGGAAGTTGTGGGTCCCCTGGGCTCAGCATTTGCAGAGCAGGCTCCCCGGCGCTGCGGCCTCTGGGGACACTGCCGGGCCGGCCTCAGGGGGGCCTGGTCAGCTGGCGCACCTGCTCCGCCCCACACGCGGGATGGGTGCTAGCACGTGCGCGCTTCCGGACATCCGACATCCCTCCCACCCCAGGCCCTGGTTCTCAGGGGCCCATCCCGTCCTGGTGCTGGGCTGGCAGGGGGGCGGCAGGGAGCAGGGGTGTGGGGGCAGACCCTGCAGGACCTCTGAAGACCAGCACAGAAGCCACACCCCGGGGGAGGCGGCCACAGCGGCTAGAGCCTGCCTGGAGCACCCCCGCCACCCCCTGCCAGCTCATGATCACTCAGCTCTGCCCAGTGAGGGCTGGGCCGTCTCCCACCCCCCTTCGTGCCCCTACCCTGCCCATCCGGCCGGGCTTGCCGGCCCTGCTCACTCTGCTGGGCAGGCCAGGCCAGGGCTGGGCACTGGGTCGGCCCCGTGCCTGCGGCAGAGAGCAATGGCTTTGGGGGGCAGAGTCCTGAGATCCAGGGAGGAGGCTGCCAGCTGGCTTTCCCTGGGCCTGGGGATCACTCGAGCCTGAGGGCAGCTCTCCCACTGCCTGGGGCTGTTCTGTCTAGAACCCGCTGGCCCGGCCGGGCTGAGCGGCCAGGCGGGGCTGGTCAGCGTGTGTAGGGGTAGCCTTTGAAGGGGACACTCAGAGGACAAACACTGGGCCAGGAGTCAGCAAGTAGGGTCAGTACCCAGGCCCCCCCTGGGCTGATTGGCCCCTTCCTAAGGGTATCTGCATTTTTAAAAAGTTTATTTATTTTTGAGACAGAGACAGAGCAAGAGTGGGGGAGGGGCAGAGAGAGAGGAGCCACGGAATCTGAAGCAGGTTCCAGGCTCTGAGCTGTGAGCACAGAACCCTGTGTGGCGGGGCTTGAACCCATGAACCGTGAGATCATGACCTGAACCAAAGTCAGCCGCCCAGCCAACTGAGCCACCAGGTGCCCCAAGTATCTGCATTTTCATCAGAGCTCTGTGGTGGGGAAGCCTGTGGGGGAGCAGGCGAGTGGGCTTGGGGTGCTCCTCCCAGGGCTGGGAGTGATGGTCTGGGTGGGGGCGGGGCCTAAACAGCCTTCCTGCGAACCGAACTCCAGCCTTGCCAGTGCCTTCGGGTTCTGCTCTCAGAGAACTGGATTTTGAAAATGGCTTCCAACTTAACCTAAAAAGTGCACAGCACAGCCCAGTGGGGCAGAGGCTGAGAGAAAGCCCCTGGGGGGGGGGGGCGCAGCTCAGCGGAAGAGCTGCAGGGGGGGTCTGTAGGTGCCCCCCCATCCAGCAATGTCCCCCGGGGCTCCTCAGGTGTATCTGGCATCCAGCCCTGAACTGCTCCTCCTGCTAACGCCTGGGAGTGACCCCAGAGCCCCCTTCAGAGGCCCCTTCTGTGCACCCATCGCATCTGCCTACACTGCCTGGGGACCTTCTCCCCTGGGCGGTCACCTGCTCGCTCAAGCACCTCCTCCAGGCACCTCTTCCAGGCAGCTCTCACCCACACCCAGCCCCCTGGGCACACACTGAGGTGCCCACCCTTGCAATGTCCCCACGGGTCCGGGAGCGGACTCAGACCCCAGCAACCTGGTCCGTGGTGTGGCCCCCTGTGCCCAGGAGCATCTGGGACATGCTCGCACCTGTGCCGAGCAGGTAGGCAGCCTCTGGCCCCTGCTGCCTGGCATTTCTGCCCCAAAGTCACCCCCCAACCCGGGGGTGGGGAGGCTGCAAAGGCCTGTGGGCAAAGAAGCAGTCAGGCTCCGGGTGGGGGCGCAACAGTGACAGGGTGGGGGGCGGCTCCTGGTGAAGCCCCTCACTCTGCAGAGGAACCCCACGCCATACAGAGAACACATGCTCGCTGGGCCCCCAGGCCTCCCCTAGGGCTCCTGGGGCCTTGATCCTCAGCCCTGTGAAACCGGGGGCGGCGAGGCGCCGCCAGCTCCCCGCGGGCTCCGCCAGGCTCCCCTCGGCCTGCTCCCGGCGCGCGCGGCCGCCTGAGGGCGAGGAGCGGCGCCACTGTGGCCGGACAGTCCTCGCGGTCAGGGCGCAGGTCCGCGCCGGGCTGGGCAGGGCCTGGGCTCCGGAGGGAGGGGGCGGGGGCGGGGCCTGGCGGCGTCCGGGTCGTCAGGACAACCCAAGGCCCGCCACTCCCCTGTGCCCAGCCAGCCCCTGCAAGCCTGGTCCGGGGACCTGCCGGGCTGGCGCAAGGTCACTGCAACAGGCTGGCCCTAAGGGCGGCCGGTTACGGGGTCCCGAGCAAGGTGCGAGATGCGCAAAGGCTAGGGATAGTGGAGAGCTTCTGCTGGGCTGGAGGCGCGCGGGAGCAGGGCTCCGGAAGGGGTCCCCGGCGGGGCCCGCGTCCGCCCGGCGCCTGCACCTCCAGTTGACCCCAGCCGGGCAGCTGCGCGCGTGGGGGAGCCCCGCTGTCACTAGGGGAAGGAGGCCCTTTGCGCTGTGAGCGCCGCACGGGGCCCCGGGCCCTCTGGGCGCAGCGGGGTCGCACGCAACCCGCAGATTCTCCGGCGACCCGGGGGGGGGGCGGGGCGCGGCCGAGACCCGCGGACGGAACACCCTCCCCAACGCCGCTGCGGGCCACCCCCCGGCGCACAGGCAGCCCCGAGCCGGGCGCGCGCCCTCTGGTCCCCCGCGGAGGCGCCGAGCGCACGAGGGTCGCCAAGCGCCCCCTCCGCGACGAGGACTGGGTTGGGCCGCCGCGGGGCGTCCGCCGGTGTCCTCCCCGGGCCCGCGTCTCCTCGGCCCGGCCCGACCGGCTTCCTGCTCGCGTCGCCCGGACTTCCTCCCCGCAGTGCCGGGTGGCCACCCGGTGCCAGACCGGAGGCGGGGGGGGGGCGGGGGCGTAGGGGTGCGGGGAGGCGGGGGCCGGGCAGGTCCGGCGCGGGGGCGGGGGGTCGGCCCCGGGGCAGGGGTCCTGAGCTCCGGCCCGCACGTCCTTTGGGCGGGCGCTCGCGGCCGCGGGGCCCGGCGGAGGGCGCAGCCAGCCCTGCCCCGTCCCGGGGGTCCGCAGTGCGCTTCCCCGCCGGCTCCCAGGAGCGCGGCCCCGGCCCCCGTCCGCGGGCGGGGGTGCCCCGCGCGCCCCACCCCCCGCCGCCCCGGCCCGCTCGCTGTGGCCGCCCCGAGCGGAGCTTTGTGACGTCAGGCGGCCGGCGGGCGGCGTCACGCGCGGGCTGACCCGGCGGCGGCGGCGGGGCGGGGGCGGGGGCGCGCGGGCCGGGACGCGGCGCGGGAGCATGGAGCCGCGGGCCGGCTGCCGGCTGCCGGTGCGGGTGGAGCAGGTCGTCAACGGCGCGCTGCTGGTCACCGTGAGCTGCGGCGAGCGCAGCTTCGCCGGGATCCTGCTGGACTGCACGAAAAAGTGAGCGGGGGCGGGGGCGCGGGCCCCGGGGCGCCCCAGGGTCTCCTGGGGCGCCCCCCTCCCCCCACCCTCGCCGGCCTGCGCGGGGCGGGGGGGAGGGGGCCGGGCCGGCTCCGGGGCGGGGCAGTCTCGGCGCCGGCGCCCGCTTTCGGTTTCCCAGGCCCGGGGCTTCGGGGCGCGCGAGCGCGGCCGCCCCTCGGGGGGCCAGAGCGCCTCTCAAAGTCGTGGCGACTTGCGGGGCGGGAGCGGCGGTGGGCGCCCAGGGGGAGTCCCCGCGCCGCCGCCGCGCGCCGCCGGCGCCGAACTCCGCACGTCTGCCATAATTAACGCACTTTTCTTTGTTCAGACGCACTGTTGAATTCGGCTGTTTTCAGAATTGTCGGTTGGGGGGTGGCGGGGGAGTGGGTTCAGATGCGCGCCTGCCCTGCCCTGCCCTGCCAGCCGCTCACAAGTGGGGGGGCCCTGTCTACTGCCCTGGGTGCCCCCGGACTCCAGGAGCGACTCGGGGCTGAGGCTTGGATGGATGGCAAGCAGTTGTGCCCGCGGTGGGATTTAACCCGCGGAGCGCCGTCGGTGTGGAGGAGCCCCCGGCAGTGTGGGGGGGCGAGGTGCAGGCGGGCGCGGGGGCCGGGGCGGCGGAAGGGGGTCCCCGGGCGGGCCTGGGGCGCATCCTCCTGAGACGCACCTGTGCGCCTGCTGCAGGGACTCGGCGGCAGGAAGAGTCTCCTGGATACAGTGTCACATGGTCCTGAGCTGTCGCGCAGATAAATGATTAGGCATTAATCAGGCACTAATGTCTTGGCGCTCCTGCTGGGCCTTATCTCCAAGCTGAGAGCAGTAAATGGCTCCCCTTGAGGAGGCCCAACTTTTTCCCTGCGTGGAGCCCAGGGTCTGTTGCAGTAGCGTGGACGTGGCAAGAAGACCATCGCTCTTCGACAGTTACCCCGCTGGCATTCTCTCTTCATTAGATGCGCCAGAGCCATTTATGCGCCAGTCATGTGACCTAACATATGGCCTCCCGGGCGCCGGGCGCCCTGCTCCGCCCTGGCTACCACAGACGGTGCTTGGCGGGACCCAGTGGGGGTGGGGGCCGCGGGCCGCAGCAGGGCCCCCTGGAAGCCGCCCCGCCTGCAGCCCAGGGGTGGCCAGGGCCCCCCACACCCGATGGCCAGCACCTCCTCCTCCAGACAGGCCTGCCAGCCCAGGGCCGTGCCTGCTCCCTGGGCCGTGCGCGGCTGGACCCAGGCTTTGTCTGCACAGCCCGTCCGGCCTTTCCTCCCTGGAGAGGGACACTTGCAGCAGAGGCTCCCCCCGGTCGTCTGGGCCCCCCAGCTCAGCACAAGGGAGCCACGGGCCCCTCTGACTTGTGGGTGGGAATGTCCGCCGGGGCGGCAGCCTCAGCCCCCTTCCTGTCTGCCTCCAGCTGGGCTCCCCTCCCCGAGGCTGTGGCTAACCTGGCGTGGAGAGCAGCGCTCCCCTCCCCCCTGTGGAAGGAAGCCGGCCATGCTGGGATCCCCAGCCGTGCACTCGCGGGCGTCAGCCCCGCCACAGCCACGTTCTGCTGTGACCAGAGCGGCCGCAGAACCAGGGCCGCCACGGGCGCTGCTCTCCTCCACGGTGGCTCCTGCTGGTGGGAGCTGGCCCCTCGTCCTGCTGGGGAATCCCAAGATCCCTCGGCAGCTCCCGGGGCCTCCGGCCTCCGAGGCCCGAGCCTGCTCCCGCCCCCGCCCACCCTCGCCTCCCGGTCTCTCGCCACTTCTGGTTTCCCCCCGCCTTCTGCTCTCTGCCCACGGTATCAGGGGCAGCGCCCCCGTTACATCCTGCTCGTCAGGTGGGGCCTCTCGGCAGCTTCCAGCCCCGCGGGGCGTGGTGGGCAGCGGGTGTGTGGCCGTGGGCGGCGGAGTCCGCAGCGCCGATCCGCCTTCCCTGGGGCCGCTTTCTCCTCGGCGCCCGCCGCCCCTCCCGCTCAGTGGAGGCCCTGTCCTGGGCGAGGGACCAGGCCGGCCAGGAAGAGCAGCCGGGAGCTCCAACTGCCCACGGCCGCCCACCTCCGGGAGCCCGCGGGTCCCAGAGCGGCGGGGTCGCCGGGGGTCTGTCAGGGCGGCGAGGCCACAGCTGTCAGTGTGCCCGTGGTGCGCAGCCAGGCACGTGCCAGTAACTGCCGTCCTCTGCAGCCTCGAGTCCGCGTGCGGTCCCGGGGGCCGGGAGCCCAAGGCCCCTGCAGGGGTGGAGCGGCGCCAGGGGAGGAGTCCCCCGCGCAGGTCCCGTTTCCTGCCCCGGAGCAGGGGCCAGTGAGCCGTGTCACTCTCCGGGCATTTGGGAGGTGGCACCCCCTCCCTGGGCCCTCTGGGAGGCAGGTTCTTGTCCCCAAATGCGCCGGGAGGATGAGCTCACAGAGGCCCCCCAGGTCCCCGCAGGTGTGTGGCATGCCTGGCCCGGTGCCCAGCTGCCTCCCACCCGGGCCTTGAACCTGCCCTTTGTGCTCTGAAAGAGGGTCCTCAGCTGCTGAGTGCCCGCCTTCCCCCCGCACGCCTTCCCTGCATTCCCTGACTGCCTGCTGTGTGCCCGGGCCGAGTCCCAGGCAGACCGTGTGCGTGTCCCCCCCGTGTCTCGGCGAGGCTGCGTTCCCTTCTGGGGGAGCAAGGATGCAGACGGCCCGGGCCTGCCCTGGCTCCTCAGGCTGGGGTGCAGGCTGGGTGTGGGCACGGTTTTGTGGGTGGCCTGGGGGAACCCCTGGGGTAGAGTCCCCCAGCCGGGGTGGCCCTGGCTGAGCCATGGCCCCAGGACAGCAGAGGCCCGGAGTGGTGAAGGGGTGGTCTCAGGGGTAGCAGGATCCGGCCGGCCGGCTGCCCCGTCAGGCTGATGGCAAAGCCGTCATCTCTGACTTGGTGTTTTTCAAACTTCCCCAGCTGTGAGTCACCCAGGGTGCATTACCGTGCAAGCCTCCTGGGCCTTTGTGACCCACACCCACCCTGGGAGGCTGGAACTCCAGCCAGTCAGGAATCCCAGTAGGCCTGTCCCCGGGCAGGAGGGCGCCCCTGTTCCACCCCGGGCGTACTCCCTTGTCCAGGGGGGCGGCTTGGCCCCTGGGGGCCGGCCCTGGGATGGTTCACCGGGCGAACACGGATGGACACCTGGTCCAGGCCCTGCTGGGCACATCCTCCTTGTGTTCGGGGGCCAGAGGTGCCCAGCGTGTCAGGGGTGGCAGGGTCTGGGGCTTGCAGGCAGCTGCCACCCAGGGGACCTGGCCAGCATGGAGGTGACAAGGGGGGGTGGACTGGGGAAGCCCTCAGATGGCCTGGAGAGGGGTGTAGTCAGCTGAACTTTACTGGGATGATGCTGGCGGTCTGTTAAGCCTTTGAGCCTGGGGCTCCGGGGGCCAGATGGGACAGCCTGGCCCTGTGGCTCATCCCCAAGACCCGGGTTCTACCCATGGGGGAGGAGCGGCCTTGCATGTGTGGCCCTAGACAAGGGGTCACTCTGGTGTCCAGGCTGGGACTTCCCTGCCAACCTGCTTTCCCCACATCCCTGAGCAGAAGTGGGCCCGAGGCCTCCACTCCCCGGAGGCCTGGCAAGGCCACCCTACCTTTCCCAGCCAGCCGGCTCCTGCCCTCCTTCGGGACCGGGCCTGCCCTCCCCGCGTGCCGGGCTGCAGAGGAGCGAGCCTGCCGTATGTGTTCTAAAGCAGCGTGTAGAGCAGGGAGCCCGGGCCAGGGCGGGCCTCGCCAGCGGGACTCAGGCCTGTCCTGGGGCTGCGGGCTCCTGGGATGGACCCCTGGGTGTTTCTGGTCTGGAAGCCACGTCTTCTCACCTCTGTACCGGACACCGGGGTCGCCTCTCCCCGTGCGAGCATGAGGAGGGAGGGTCCAGGGCAAATGTGGACCTGGCTGGGGTCAGAGGCCACTGTCAGGTTCCGCAGATGCTTGGCTCCCCAGTCGGTTGAGCCGAGAGGCCGCAGGGGAGGCCGGGAGCCCTGGCGGGTGGCCGGGCCGTCTCCTCCTGGCGGCGGGCCAGCCCGGGCCGGCTGCTCTGGGGGCTTGCTGAGCTGGTTGCATGGGTGAGACCTCGGGGAGGGCGGGGGAGCTGAGGCCCGGCCGCTGGTGCTCTGCCAAGGACTGCAGGCTAGGCTGCTCCCCTCTGGGCCCCGGTGGCCGTGCCAGATGGCCATGCCTTCGTCTCGGCAGAGCGGGGGTTTGGGGGAAGAACTGCTTTGCTTTTGGGTCTGACTTCTGTCTCCTGCTTTTTCACCTCGGGGTCCCCACCTTTCCTCAAAGCTCAGGCTATTTGCCCCTCCCCCGGCTCCCCGAGGACGCTGTGCGGAGGTTTGTTTCGGGGTCCCCAGTTTCTTGCGTGGAGACCGTGGCCAGCCCGGCACTCCAGGCCTCGGCTCTGCACCGTGAGTGACCCCCGGCCCGGGGCCCCTGCTCACGCACACCTACCCCGTCCTTGGGCAGGCAGCCAGTGGGTCCAGCAGGGACCCTCGCTCGGCGCAGCAGAGGGCGGGACAGAGGGCACCTGGGCCCCTCGCCCTGGGCCCGCCAGGCGGTCTCTCTGGCTCCAGGCGCCTCGCCTGCCAAGGCCCTGCGGTATCACCTGTGGGGCACCGCCAGGCTGGCCGGAGCCTCCATCCCTGGGCACGCGCCAATGTCAGCACAGCCTGGCCTCACCGAGGGGCTGGGCCCTGTAGGCAAACCGCAGCCTGTGGCGTGGCCACGCCTCGTGCCCTCGAGTCCAGTTGAGGTCACCCCACTGGAGAGTGCACAGATGCTTCCCCCGGAGGGCGCCCGTGTCTGCGAGGAGGCAGCGCAGCTGACAGGAGCCCAGACCCCTGCTGTCACCAGACAGCCCCGGCCGGGAGGGGAGATGCCCTGTGCTCACCGGGCAGCCACAGGCTCGGGCGCGGAGGCGCCTGCTGCCTGGGAGTCTCTGGCTGCTGTTTACCCACCAGGCAGCTGTGGGTGTGGCCTGGGCAGGGCGCCACCGGGAGGAAGCGGCCGCCTGCGGAGTCACGGGGCCGCCGGGTCAGCCGGCCCATCCCCATGGCCGCAGCTGACATCTGGGGCCCGCCGCACCCCCGAGGCCGTGGCCCCCACGCGGGGCAGGTGCAGGCGGGTTCCCTGGGCCCGGGGGCCTCTGCGAAGCTGTGTTTGACCTACGAGGGCAGGGAGGGGCCGCTGCTCGCCAGCCATGCCGTAGAGCACGTGCACGGGTCTCCGTGACTGTCGTAAACACGCAGGGACTGCTGAGGGGTGTGTCATAAGCGGCGGCGGGGGGGGGGAGGAACGTCCATGGAGCACAGCTTCGGGGCCTCGGGGATGGGGTGACTCCCCCCCTGCCCCCGCTGCCCTCCGGGAGAGGAGACGGCAGAACCCAGGGCCGGCCGTGCCCTCGGCTCGCAGGGTCCCGCAGAGGAGGCTTCTGGAGGGAAGACGGGTTCCAGGTGACGGAAAGGACCTGCCCAGGGGCTGGTTCCCGGGGTGCCCTGGGCCCCGGCTGGCGGGAGGGGTTCTGCACCCCCACAGGCAGGCTGGTGGGGGGCACAGGTGCGGGCCGGGGGGGGACGCCTGGGGGTGCCGGCTGGTTCTGAGTGGGGTGACGGCAGAGGAGCGTGGGAGCGGCGGTGGGGATGCAGACGAGGAGGGGGCACAGTGCACGCCCTGGTCAAGGCCGTGGTCTGAGGGCCTGTAAGGGGGGCAGGAAGTGGGCTTTGGGGGGCCTTGGGGACCAGCCTCCAGCTCCCGGGGGGGATCCGCCTGCTGTGTCCCTCCTGGTCTGTGTGACCCCTGGGCCTGCAGACCTGCCACGGGGTTTCCTCTCAGGTTCTGGGACCTTCACTGTGGCCCTTGTTTCGTGCCCACTCAGGGAGGGGCCGCTCTCCCCGGTGACTTCCTGGTCATCCTGGAGGTCCTGCTGGGGCTGAGGCTGTCCCTTGAGGGGCTCCTTGGGGGCTTTCTGCACTTCGTGTCTTCTCAGCGTCACCCTCTGGCGGGGCACTGCCATGGGGGTGGGGCCCTCCTGGCCTCCCCTTTCTCGTTGCCAACACCCCCTTCATTTGAGGCCTCTACGTGGGGTGCCACAGTTCCACGCGGGGCACCCTGACACCCCTAACAGCAAGGGGCAGTGAGCACACTGGCCCAGAAGCTTGGGGTGAATGTGTGCATACACCTGTGCATGCACGTATATAAACATGCACACATGTGAATGCACGTGTACACGTGTGCACATGTGAACACACGTGTGTGGATGCACATGCGAATGCATGTACGTGTGTGGATGCACATGTGAGTGCATTGTGTGCACACGTGTGTGTGCGTGTATGTGCCTTGGTGTGAGCACATGTGTTTAGCGCTCAGAGTTTTTTATTTGTTTTGAACGCCCACGAGGTGCTTATTGAAGGGAAAGAACCAGGTGCTGATTTTGGTGTGGGGTCCAGTGCCCACTCTGGGAACTCAGGGTGACGTTTGGTGATATGGCCCGCCTGTCACAACCGTGGGTGTGCGTGGGGGCAGCTCTGGGCCGGGCCTCGTCTCCCCCACCTGGACCCCCACAGACCTTCACCAGAGGGCTGCACAGTAGCTGTTTTGGCCTGGCATCCGTCCTCTGTCCCGGCTGCTTGGCAGCGCTGGCGGGGGTGGGGGGCAGGAAGGCAGCCAAGGGTAGCCTGAACACGAGCACGCGTGGCTGCTGTCACTAAACGCTGAGTTACAAAAACCGGTGGCAGCTCTTGGGGCTGTGGGGTCTGTGTGCCCAGTGCCAGGCTGTGGAGCCCTTTCTCCAGGCGAGGGCACGAGCCGGGGCCCCTGTTCCCCCAGAGTCCAGCCCAGCCTAGTGTGTAAATCCTCCAGTGCAGGCGGCCGCCCCGTGGGGAGCGGGCTCCCCACTGCCGTTGGTCCGCGGGGCGCGGGGCCTGTGGCCGCAGGCCGTCCTGGGCCACCCAGCACGTGAAGAGCCACACGCCCAGCAGATGACAGAAGGGGTGGGGCTCACCGTGGCTGCTGTCCCACCCCCAGAGCAGAACCCCACCTCCGAGGGAGCTGGGTGCCCCGCTGTGGCCGTGGCTGTGTGCTCCCTCCCCGGCTGGCCCTCGGCTCCCCCTCGCCCCCTTGTCACAGTTACAGGTTACAGGGCAGCTGTCTGGCCACACAGAGGGTGGGGCAGTCTGCCCGGGCACGTGGCCGTGGCCCGTGGACTCTCTGGTCATGAGGAGGAGAATGTGACCCCTGCCCCCACGTACCGCTCTGTGCATGAAGATTTTAGATTCCGGGGGCAGCCACACGTAGACAGGAACGTGGTAGGAAAGCCATGGTTTCCAGGCTTTTCCCATGATCTTGAATTGAACAAAAACGGGTCAGCGTTCACACAGCAGGCATGCTGCCATGCTCGTTGCTCATCCGCCTCGTGCCCGCGAGGGCCACGGGGAAGCGATGTCCCCGTTGGTCACTGCAGCTGGGCCAGTCCCGCAGCCTCCGTGGCCAGCTCCCGTCCTGTCCACGGTGCTGGGGGCCAAGCTGGAGGCGGTGACGCCCTGCGCGGCGGGCCCTCTTAGCTGCTGGATTCTTCTGGAGAAGAGCAGATGGAGAAACCATTTGAAAGTAGAAAAGGCAGAAGCGTTCACTCATCGTTTCTACTCCGGTTAGGTCCGTGGCCGGCGGTGAGCACGGAAGTGCCGTGTTCCCCTTGACCTGGTGCAGGTCTGTTTCTGTGCGTAGAAAGTAACAGCTTTTAGCAAAAGCGGCCTCACAGGTCACACCACGTTTCCGCCGGAGGAGCGTGTGCGGGATTCTGCCTTGTTTTTCACTGTTTGGAGCAGTGAGGGTTTTCCTGCTTCACCGGGGGTCGCTGGTGAGTTGGATGCGGCCTCCCGACATCCATGGCACAGGGTCAGGGGGACGGTGCGCTGACCACCGACTTCAACAACGAAACACCCAAGGTGCCCAGACATCTGAGTGGAGGCTGCCTGTAGAGACGGCTGCCTGGCTGCCAGCCCTGGGGGTGCCGCCGCGCCACTGGCCTTGGCCATGCGTCCCCCTGGGAGGTGGGCTCCTGCCCTCCCGTGTCCCCGTCCCATAGGTCTCCTGGCCCCCTCTCCGCCCTGGAGCGGGAGGTCCTGCGGGAAGGGCCTGGGGTCTCAGGGAGGAGGGAGAAGGTGTACAAGGCCCGTGAACAGGGCCCCCTGGCCAGAGCAGCCGGCCCCCCGCAGGCCCAGTCAGGCCACGTCACAGAACCCCAGACCCCGTTCTCAGGCCCCAGGCCGCCTTCCCTACCCCAGGGCCTTGGGAGGTCTCCAGCTGCGAGCCCGCATTCCGCTTCTCACTGTGAACTGCGATGTGGACATCGGGGTGCTGCAGACCCGGGAGGTGGCTGCTGTGCTGGTCACGAGACCGCATAGAGCATGTGCCGCCCTCGGAGTCCCTGCGGTGCACGCGTGGGGGCGTTGGCCTCCCCCGGGGACCGGGTGCAGCGCGTGATCCCCGTCCTGACTCTCCCCTTCTGTCTCCCCTCTGCCAGGTCCGGCCTGTTCGGCCTGCCCCTGTCGGCCCCGCTGCCCCAGCCCGAGGACCCCCCAGTCAACGGCTGCCACGGCCCGGCCCCCGCGGAGCAGGACGCAGAGGCGATGCAGCTGGGGACAGTCCCTCCACCGCCTCCCAACGGCGACCAGGCCCCTGAGACCGCAGGCCCCAAGCCACCTCCACCGCCCGTGCCCCCGTTCCCGCCGTATTTTGAAGGCGCCCCCTTCCCTCCCCCGCTCTGGCTAAGGAGCACCTACCGGCAGTGGGTGCCGCAGCCGCCGCCCAGGACCGTCAAGAGGACACGCCGGCGCCTGTCCCGCAACCGCGACCCGGGCCGGCTGGCCCTGAGCCCCATCCGCCTGCGGCCGCGCCAGGTGCTCTGTGAGAAGTGCAAGAGCACGCTGAGCCCCCCCGAGGCCAGCCCTGGCCCCCCCGGTGCCCCGAGGCCGCGCAGGAGGGTGGGCAGCGGCCCCGGCCCCGACAGGGAGCCCCGCAAGCTGGAGGACCCGGCCGGCGGCGGCGGTGACTCCACAGCCACCGCGAGGAGGAGCAAGAGGGAGAAGCGAGAGGACGCCAAGGCCCGGGTGCCGCGGAGCCCGGCCATCAAGATCTCCTACAGCACGCCGCAGGGCACGGGCGAGGTCGTGGAGATCCCCTCCCGCGTGCACGGGTCCCTCGAGCCCTTCTGCCCCGCCCAGGCCCCGCCCAGTGGCAGCCAGGACCCCGGCGGGCCCGCCGCCTCCATCCCCAGGCTGAAGCTGACGCGCCCCGGACCCCCGGGCCCCAGCCTGCCGCCCCCCAAGATCCGCCTGAAGCCCCACCGCCTGGGGGCCGGGGAGCGGGAGCCCGTCTACAGGGCCGAGCTGGTGGAGGCACTCAATGGCCACGGGCGAGGCCCCCGGGCCGGCTCCCCCTCTCCCCAGGGCCACGGCTCCACAGGCCACGGGCCAGTGGACTCGTCTTCCGGAAGCTCTGGCGAGGATGATGACTTCAAGCGGTGTCCCCAGGGTCAACACGAGCGTGACGGGCTGGCCTTCCTCGCCGCCTGCCCCCGGAGGGGGACGGACTGTGCCCGCGAGTCCGTGTGGAGCAGCGACAGCCTGGACGAGTCCAAATCGTCCAGCTCAGAAGTGCCATCGCCGGACACGTGTGACCTTTCCGGCGACGGTGCGTCTGTGAGGTCCTCGTCCGGGGACGCGAGGCAGACGGTCCCGCCCCTGACAGTCAGGCTGCACACACAGAGCGTGTCCAAGTGCGTTACTGAGGACGGAAGGACCGTGGCCGTGGGGGACATCGTGTGGGGTAAGATTCATGGTTTTCCTTGGTGGCCAGCGCGTGTGCTTGACATCAGTCTTAGCCAGAAGGAGGACGGGGAGCCTTCCTGGCAAGAAGCCAAAGTCTCGTGGTTTGGTTCACCGACTACATCCTTCTTGTCTACTTCAAAACTCTCCCCTTTCTCTGAGTTTTTCAAACTGAGATTTAACCGTAAGAAGAAGGGGATGTATCGGAAAGCTATAACAGAGGCCGCAAATGCCGCGCAGCACGTGGGCCCGGAAATAAGGGAGCTCTTAACCCAGTTTGAGACGTAAGCCGGGCTCCCGACCAGGTGAGTGCGCCTCTGGCTGGCAGCCCGCAGGGCGGCCGCTGGGCAGCCGGTCCTGCTTGATGGCAGCAGCGTCGAGGCGCTTGGCGTCGCGGGGGTCGTCAGGTGCCCGTGCAGAGGACACGGCTGGCTGGTGTTTTGCAGCCATTTTTCAAAGTGTCGAGAAAGACCTCCCTCCCCTTCCATCAGTGTCCTGGAGAAGGAGCAGGCGTGGAGGGGGCTTCCGCTGCTCACTCCGAGGGGCCGGTCCGTCCTCGCTCCCCGGGCGGGAGCCGGGGCCCCAGTGCGTCCTGCCGTCAGATGATACTCGCGTGGCCTCAGCCCCCACCCGTCTGCATCACCGGGCACGTGGTTCCCGGCCAGCGTCGGTCAGGCGCTCTGGGGTCTGTCCCCGGGCCGGCATCTCCCCTCCAGGGGAGCTCTGTAGGGTCTCCCGCTCCAGGCCTTAGACGGAGCCCCCATGGGGCTGGGGGGCGTCTCTGCCTGGTCCTGGGGCGTCACCAGGCAGCACGTCTGTGGTTACCTCGTGGGGTATCAGGAAACGGCCGAGGGGCAGAGGCTGCCTGCCGTGAATCCTGGGCCCCAGGACGTGGGAGGGGCTGGGTGCCTGGGCCGTGGGGTGTGTCCGGGGGTCACTGGTCCTGGTGGTGACCCCCGGTGCCCACTCCCCTCCCTGTCCTCTCCCAGGGGAGGAGGCAGGTCCCGTGCGTGCTGCCTGCGTCGGACCGGAGCGTGTGTGGTGGGGTCCCCCTGTGGACAGCCCTCTTCCCGGCCCCTTAGCCTAACGCCCACGCCCACAGAAACAGGGGGAAGGCAGGGCCGTCAGAGGAGCGGTCCCCCCCACCCCTCTGGCTGGGCCTCTGCCTCTGTTTCTGTGACCTCTAGCTGCTCTTCTCTGGTCTGGTCCACCTGCCCGGCTGCCCGGCTGCCGCCAGGTTCCCAACTCGGGCCTTGAGGCCTCTTGTGTGGCCGGCGTGTGGTTGCGAAGAGGCTTGTGGGGCACCTGGTCCCCCCCCAGCCGCTGCACCATGTGTGCTGGGGGGTCCTAGGATCGAGGAGGCAGGGGTGAGGGGTGCACCTGGGCAGGGTCACAGACAGGGTTCTCGCTCTAAGCCTTGTCCCCACCCTTCTCTCCACCCGCCTGCTGCGTCGAGCCCGGCCGCTGCCCTGAACGGCTCCCAGGGGCCAGACACACGCCTGTCCTGCCCCCCAGGCACAGCCCTGGGAGCTCGGGGCGTGGGCGCCCTGTGGGAGGGGCCCAGAGGGAGGTCGGAAGCTCCGGGTGTGTCCGAGGGCCCCGGGGCCGTCTGTGGGGCCCTGCCTCTCTGTGTGTCCTCTGCTGCCCCCATACCCGGCCGCTGCTCTCCAGGCCCCTCCTGCCCTTGGCCGGGTCTGGGGCCGCTGTGGAGGCCGGGCGCCTCCCCCTCTCGCCGTGGGCCCGTGCTGTCCTGGAGGGCGTGTGAGCGACCTTCAGACCCCTGGTCACGGTGGGCAGTTAGTGGGGGCACAGTGTGGCCTGGCGGGCAGGGAGCCCCCAGCTGGGAGAATGCAGCCTGTTTACCAGGAAGCAGAGGGAAGAATCTTGCCAGACAGGTTTGCCTGCTGTAGGGCCCGTGCCCACAACCAGCCTGTTCCCCACTCCCTGCCCCCTCCCTCCGGCCCCCTTCTCCTCTCTGTCTTTCCTTCCCTCTCTCTGTTTCTGCCTGTCTCTGCGCGTCTCTCTGTCTTTGTCCCTCTGGCTTCGGGGACTGTGCCCGTGCTGTCCCCAGTGCTGCGTGGGGCTCTGGGAGCGTGGGATGCTGGGTTTTTTCAGCCCCAAAGCACGAAGCAGTTTTGCCTGATTGGCTCTTTAGTTTTGTTTTACGAGGACAGAAAATGTGCTCTGAGCTCCATGCCAGCCAGGAGGGTGATCTGCTGGCGCTGGCGAGCAGGGGCTTCCCGCTCCACGTGCTGGCTGGCCTGCTCCTCGGGCGAAGCTGGGTGCTGCCTTCCCCGGGCAAGCGCAGTGCGGCCGGGGCCGGTGCAGGCGGGCGCCGCGGCTCTTGTGGGAGATGCTGGGGGGCGTGGCCGCACTGAGGGGGTCACGGTCACCAGCGCCTGGGCATGCCTGGGAGGCCGGCGTGAGCTTCAGGCCACGTCCACCAGCTGCCACGGCCCAGCCCGACGGGCGCTGCCGCCCCCTGTGGACACTTGCTACGAGCCCCTCGGCCCTGGAGAGAATCTGTCCCGACGACCAGCACCCGTCAGGGGGGATCCCAGCACACGCTGTGGGGTCAGCTCCCTCCTGGGGCCATCGGGTCCCAAGAGATTCCTCCGTCCCACTTGCAGGGTGGCGGGGGGCTCGGCTGAGAGGGGGGTGTCCACAGGACACGCTGGAGAAGCACGCAGCTGTCCTGGGACTTGGCCGGGCGCTGGTGACAGGGCACAGTGGTCCTCAGCAGGGACTGACCTCCAGGGACAGACACGGGCCCACCCAGCAGGGCCCTGGCCAGTCACTGGCTGCTCTGGCCCCAGCAAGCTGGCTTCTCTGAGCTTCGTTTTCCTCATGTGTCTCAGAGTGACCAGAGCTGCCACTTGGGCTGGGTGTTGAGTGAAGGGTCCCCTGGGGGCCTTTGGAGGCAGCCACCACACCCTTTCTGCCTCCTCCCATGTCCCCTCCCCCAGGTTGCCACAGGCCACTTCCCAGGGTGGGGACGGGGCTGTGCTCCTGATGGGGCTGGCGCCCTCCTGACGGCCACGCTCCAGGCGCCCGGTGGTCAGAGGGTGAGGCCTTTCGGGAGCTGACTGGTCAGGCCTCGGCCTGCAGGGGGGCAGCGGTGCCCGAGAGCGCAGGGCCAGCCCCCAGCCTGACAGGTGGGGGTAACTGCTCCCAAGGGTGGCATCCGCCCACGGCGGGCTGAGCGCTCTGCTAGACAGAGGGTGCACAGTGGCCGAGGGCCTCACCCTGCGAATCACGGTGCCCAGATCTGTGTGTAATCACACACGGGAACGTGCTGGGAAGGGACGAGGGCCCCACGGCAGAGTGTCTGGTGAGGAAGCCGACCTGCACTGGGTACCTGGGAAGGCTTCCTGGAAGAGGTGACGTATGGGTGAGAGTGGAACGGTGAGCTAATCATGAGCTAATGGCCTGTGGCCTGTGGCGGAAGGAAGCCTGCGCTTGGGGGGTTCAGGAGGCAGCCGGGCTTGGGGCTGCTGAGACTGGCGCTGCAGCCTCGTCCGGAGAGCAGAGGGCGCCACTGGGGCATGTTAGCCAGAGGAGTGAAGGGGCCCCTGGCTGTGGGGTCAGGAGTGGGGGGCAGGGACGGGAGGGGAGGGACAGCAGGAGCTGGGGGTGGGGATACGTAGAGGACAAGTGGCGGAGCGGAGCGGGGGTCTGAGGCCAGAAGAGACCGGCCCGGGTTGCGGGGTGTCAGCTCCTGGAACCTGGGACCGTGGTGGCCCTCACTGCAGGGACAGTGGCCCCGGCTGGCCGGTGTCTGAGAGCCTGAGTCTTCGCTGGGAGGGGACTCCGGGTCCAGTACTCAGAGTGATGTTGGACCTGGGGTCACAGGTCTGTGGAACGATCTAGGCCCCAGGGAATGGCCACTGGAGGGAGGAAGCTTTGGAGCAGTGGAGAGGCAGAGCGAGGTGACCGGGCGTGAGGCCCGGCCGGGGCCCAGAGAAGGTCTCAGGGCAGGGAGGTGGGCTCGCACGGGTGGGAGGGGGCCCTGTCCAGCCTGCAGCCCCACACGGGGAGAGGGCGGATGGTCACCAGGAGCACCCCCTCGGGGCCCAGAGCTGTCGGGGCAGGAGGCCTGGGTCCTGGCGGCCCTGACGGCACCCTCTGTGCAGCATTCAGAGCCCAGGGACCCCGCTGGGCAGAGCCGGGTGGACGACAGGCTGTTGGGGGTGTGCTGCTCAAGTGTGGGCCAGGTGCTGTGGTACCCAGGGCGTGGGGGGCAGAACGCCACGTGGGGTCCCTCCCTGCCTCTGGGGCCGGGGGGACGTTCCCAGGCTGCTTGTGAGCTGGAGGGGCCCCAGGGCCCCCTTTCTGCCTGCGCGGCCAGGGTGTCGGAAGGCAGGAGCTTTTCGAGTTCACAGAGCAGCCCCTCGAAGGCTTGGGGGTGGGCAGCTCCGAGAACTGGGTTTCCTGCTCCACGGAGTGAACGGCGTCCCGGGGGGTTAACCGCAGCCTCCGTGTTAGCTTCCTGCAGCCACGGTCCCGAATGACCGCACGCGGGGCCTCGGAAAGAACAGAAATGGATTCTGGTCCTGGAGGCCAGAACCCAAACTGCAGGGGTCCGCGGGGCTGTGCTCCCTCCGGAGGCCCTGGGGGAGGACCCTTCCAGCTCCCGGGGCTCCCAGGGTCCGCGGCCATGTGAGGACCCCTCTCCCCCTCCTCGGTGTCCAGTCTCCCTCCGCCCCCCTCCAGCAAGGACCCCAGGACAGCCGCATGGGGAAGCCAGTGTTTCCTCATCAGAGCCCTTCATGTGCTCGCACCGCAGCACCTTCCCTGCGGAGGGTGACGTCCCCTCCTGGGTGGGGCCTGGAGGCCTCGGGGCCTCAGCGGCCCACTGCCTCCTCCCATCTGGTGGGCAGATGGCTTAGGGGCCTGTGTGTCCACCAGCTTGGGTCCCCTGCCTCATCCTCGACAGGCCAGCTGGGCTCAGGGACAGGTCAGCTGGTGTGAGGTGGACTGGAGCCTGACGGGCTGTGTGGTGCTGGTCCGGAAGGGTCCACCGCCCCGCCAGGGAGGCCGTGCCTGTGTGCGGCGGGTCCCGCAGGCCAGAGTCTGCGTACGTGTGCTGCGTGCTGGGCCGGCCGGGGCAGAGGCGCCCCCGGGCTTTCTCTTTCCTTGTCTGTCGCGCCTTCAAGAGCACGGTCCTTGAGCTGTGAGCCCCGAGCCGGCTTTTCGCTTTTCGCTTTTCCCAGCTCTAAGTACACAGGTGCCTGGCCCTGGAGCTGGGTCTGCAGCTGGCGTCCCGCACCGCTTTCAGGGACCTCAGGTCCTCCGTGAAGGTTGT